ATTTTTAAAGTAAAATATTTTACTATTAATAAAGATATATTTTTATACAATAATATTTTTTGTTCTAAATAAATATTGGTTATTTAATATTAATAGTATTTAATCTATTTTTATAATGTATAATTAACTTTATTAATTTTGTTGCAATAGATTATAATTAACTTGTTTTTATATAAAGATTATTGATATATTAATTATAAATTTAAATTTAATAAATAAATAAATTTTTTCTATAACTCTTCAATTTGTAAAAAAATTTCTTTTTTGGTAATGATATGAATGGTAAATAGTAAACAGTAAGTGAGAACCCCTTTCTGAAAGAAGAGTTTATTTTAGTTTTTTGCAGAATGCAAGAGGTCAATTAATTCTCCATAGAGAGATGAATGCTTTGGATATAGCAAAAATCTCATCGATTAAACCCTTTGCTTTACTGAATGAAACCTATGTAAGCAACTTTCAAATAAAAGAAAACCTTTTTATCATATTCATATATATTATTATCTATTATATTACAAAAAACATACACAAAACCAAACACAATCTTTTTCTCAAGAGACAATATTTTATTTTTCCAGAGTTTTTGTTTTTTGCTAATGATAACTAGTACCAGATTAATTGACATAATCTTCTGACTAGCTGTCAGTTCTTGCCTATCTTCATACATAAAAAAAAACTGAAATTAGCTTATCCCCACCAAAAGATCTATAACACATAAAATACTAATAATATTCCATATTACTAAATCACATCAAAACAACATAACAACTTACTGGATTGGAAGAGTGTATGATCAATGCCCTGTATAGATTTCAGTAAAAACAATATATCAAATTTACTAAACAAAAATAACAAATATCTGAAACATAAAAGTTCTAGTTATTCACTATCAATACTATAACTTGATCAAATTACACTATAGCAATATATCTCAAAAATTCATATAACCAAATCCATCGAGTTAATTGTGGCTTGCATGACATCAATGTTTAATTGAAATAACTAATTGTATTCAAAAATCACATTTAACAAAAGATACAATATTATATTTGACTTTTTTTTTTGTCCAAATTTCATTAATTTATGGTAATCTTGTTCCAAATGTTTTCTTTATATTTTATTTTTTATATAACAGATAGTTCCTCAAGTTTTCCTTGCTTAAATATTTTTCAGATGATATATCTGTTAAATAAGTAATAGGCTAATATCTATAGTGATATAATTCATAGGCTTAATATTAATCATGTAACAATTTTATTATATTAATAAAAATAATGAGTATGTTTCACTTTAACAGTAAAAAATAAATAAATAAATAAATAATATATCAATTATAATTTTTTTATAAAATTTTAAAAGTTAAATAAAACAAAAAATCAATTTTTATATTATTTTTTATAATTAAAATAAACAAGTTAATTATATTAATTATATTATAAATATATGATATACTATATATTTAATAAAAAGAATTAAAAAAAATATTATCAAGAAAAGATTTTGAAAAAATAAAAATATAATATAATAATAATATTTAAATAGAACAATAAGAATTTTATAGGTTTTTGAATTATATTATTTAATTTTTTAAAAAAGATTATTATATTTTTAATTTAATATATATATACATGTACAGTATATATGAATTTTAAAAAATCATAAAAATTTATTGTTATACAATATATACAATATATATTTATTAAAATTTTAAAATATAGTTTAAAAATATTAATTATAAAATAGTTAAATTATTATTTTATATAAGGTACAAAAGTATATTTAAAATAATAATAAGTAATAATAATCATTACTTTTTATAATTTATTATAATTTCAATACATAATAATTAAAAAATAAATAACAAGTTTTATTTTATAAATATTAAACTTGAGTATATAAATATAAATACATGATTTTTTGTGATTTTATCAAATAATAATATAACATGTGCCATAAAAAATTTATGTTATACTCTCAATATAATTATATAATACATAAAAATAACAAGTTCATATAATTTAAATAGTTTACAGTTGTATCCTATTTATTATGTAAAACATTATAACATAAATAAAATTAATATATATTTTGGAATTTCTATTTGTCAGAATTCAATTTTCTATAATCAAATAAACCCATTTTATCTATTCTATAACATACATGTTGAATTGAATTGATATACAATCTAATATACAATAATTTTTATTTTAAGACATCATATAATCCTATAATTGGTTTTATACTGTATATGCATATGAAAGAAAATTTTATTTTTGATAAAATTTGTGATTCAATTACCCTACTGTTTTTAAGTTAATTTAATTGTTATTTTAATTAAACAACAAAAAGATTTTTTTTCATAATAATATTGTATCTAGATAATACAGATCAAAGTACAGTACTCTTTATGTTGCAATCTTTTCCTGATACTGTATTTTTGATGCCACCATACGACTTGAAAAAAATTTGTGCCCAAATATTTTTTTTGAATGAAAAATTGGCATATTTCAATGCTAGTCGATGTTGAAAGATAATCGATAAGCCATGAAATTTAATCTAATAAGAAAACGGAAAGAGCGATAATATAAGAGTGATTAGTTCGCTTTCAGAGAAAATAGAATCGAATCGATTTTCACATGTAACATTCATTCTTTGTTTGCCATTAAATTTAAATAAACTTTGCGCTGAAAGGTACAGTATGCAGGTACGTAGGTATGTACGAGGATGCACAAACAATAACACGAATCATTTATGCGTGCTGTGCACATATCGGTACAACTCTGTTGGTACGCTCTCAAGAACAAACCTCGTAGTAAACGTATGTACGTGAATTCGTGAACGCGGCGTTCAAAATCTTGTTATTTAAAAGAGTTTGTGCAACCAATTAAAGGAAGCAAAAAATGAAATAGGCGCCATTGCGAAGCTAACGTAGTACGGGAAGGTGAGATGGAGCATTATGGCATAGGAAACCTCCGGAGAACTGCGTTTCCAAACATTCCAAACAGAAAAATTTTATAAAAATCACTATGAACTCATTCAAAAATTAATTCATTATAGTGTGCATATTGTTTTCGCACATACGCACATACATAATTTCGTTATCTAGATAAGAAATACCATCCCCTTACCAAAGTAATTTCCCGATAACAAAATTTGGAAATTTTTGATAAAATTTAATTAATTAAGTTTGGTTTATTTGCGCATTTGAACCATAGAAATCGTATATAATAGGTACGGACAGAAAAAAGAAAAATCCAGAAAACGCTTTATCTCGTCCCAATAAGTTCATATCCTGTCTCCGTTTAGTCTCTCAAAGAATAATGAACGGATTTTTCCTTTTATGTAATTTTTTATGTCGCACATTCATTCTTTATTTGTTCCTAGACCACCGTTATCATTCAGGAGATATTCTGGTGTTAACTACAGTAACTACATAAATAGTGGCCGTGCAGTTCATCTCCTTTTGAGCTTATCGTTATGTGACAGTGCGCGAATACAACATGTTACACGATGCGGATTATTTGTCATCGGCAAGTAGCAGCATTAGGCGAAAAGGCACCACGAACAGCCGTAATACTATGTACAGTGTTGTCATATGTACGGAATTCGTGCGTTACCCGTGAGAGTTTTAATAATATTCACACCATGTCATCTTTTGACTTATTTCATTGTGAACGATAAGAGCATTATGTATGTATGCGCGTACAAATTCTATCAGGCATGCATAAGTACTACACACACTTCACGTTTTTGCGATATGTATCTTATATTTACGTTACCATTGTATCACAAAGATTTGCAGTAAGATTCATTGAAAATAGGTTGTATCATGAGAAATAAGCGAATGTTGAGCGACTCGGAGAAGAACGACAACGCATAAGGGTTTACGAAATGAAGGGCTCTGCATTATGGAAAGTTATTTGATAGTTAATTAATTGGTTAGTTCATTAGTTGGTCGGTTCCCAGGCGATATTCAAAAGGTCTGCGCGTTCTCGTTTGGCATGTACGCGTGCACTACACGATTAACTGGCGTAATGACTTGATGTTACAATTAATGGTTAAATTAAATGTCGTTAACGCTTCGACCGGTAACAATAACTACTATTTGAAGCTTGTTTGACATTAAATCGTAATTTGTGGTGGTAGTGACACATAAAAAAAAACTCGTCTTGTCCAGTATCATCATTGATCAACAACGCATTAGCATATTCCTATCAAAGAAGACTTTTCGGTAATTGTATAAATGTCCTGATATAAAAGGAACAAAGAGGAAACATTTTCTTACGCTTATTCTTATCTCGCATACTCTTTTCTGTGCCTTTCATTTCATCACCTTTTATCTTTGCACCTTTCTTAGCATTATTAACTTCGTTTCTAATCTATTGGATTTCTAAGAATCTTTTTGAAAGCAAAGTGCATGGGCAGGTAATCGCGGATAGAATAAACATAGCATAGCCATAACAGCTGATAGTTAAACACTGCATATACGCAAAGAGATTTTCTTTTATTTGTATTCCATTAATTTTTAATTTTGAAAACTGTAAATTTAACATTCGTTGTCAAATCCCTTTTTTACCACTATCGATTTTTGAAAGTAATTGTCCTATCTAATATTTTTTCCCTGTTTAAACCCAATTCTTTTGTATAAATCATAGCATTTTTTTTTTATTATTTTATTTATTTATTTTGAAAAAAAGTATGGTAACTTGCATGAATTCAAAGGATTATTTTCGTTTTACCCCCACTCTTATTACCAAAGTTATTATTGCTTCGCAACAAAATCAACAACAAACATAATCTTCAACAAGGGACTTCTCGGATCACGACGCCAACAGCAGTGCTCATCATCATTCGCACGATCGTTACAAACACAATTGTGTCGACATACAATATATTCTATAGTGGATACGATATTGTAACTGTGATACCGGTTAACTGTGCCAGCAAACATCACTTCACCCCACAAGAAAAACAAAATCGCTTCATCAGAAGACTAAATAAAAATGGAGATCTCGCAAAGAATGTACTCACCAAGTGATTATTGTGCCGCATCTTCCATCATACCGTGTCAAATGCGTCAAAAACTTTACGATCTTTCTTTGAACTTGCGCGTATATGTTTTTGACAAGGATATCATGAAAATTTTGGAGGAAGAAGGTAAAGTAATCTCCCCGCATGAGTTTCTTCTATAATCAAAATGATTCCAAATATCAACCTATTGACTCATTGACTTTCTCTCGTGATCACTTGATTCTAGTCGAAAGAATGTTTCTGAGCGTCGATGAACTTGAGAAGGTCATGCACAAGCTTGACACCCAAATCGCGGAACTCGACGACGACGATCTTTTGATGACAGCAGTGTCTTTAACAGAGGCTGATCACTTGGACGAGACTTTTGAATCTGACGAAGAAATTGACTATTGCATGTCTGAACACGTATATCCCGACGGCGATGACGGTTCAAAAGATAGGTTCAACACGTCAAATATCAATATCTGCGCAAATTCGATGGATCCCAATTGTGTCACGTTAAACATCTGGAACAAGAACGATTTCCGATTTAACTTGATGGAAAACGAATTGCACGACATTCACCGAGAAGTGATCTTCCTGATCAGGGAAATGGAGGAAAACATGGAAAGACTAGAGAGGATCATGAAGAAATTTATGATATCGGGTCCTCAATCACAAAATCAAAAGTAACATCATGCGCTCGCGTATAAACACAAAACGGAACAAATACGCCTCACTCTAAGATCATTAAAAATTCAATAAGCACAATACGAAATATCCTATTCTTTTATTTCACATAAAATTTCAATTATATGTATAATGTATATACTATATCCGTCACATATCTTATACTGTATAGCCTTATTTTTAAGGTGTGAAACACAATATTGTAAAGTCCAAAATAAAATTATCATGATCGTAAACTTTGCTATCTTCATGTCTCGCCTCTTAATCAAATGGATATAAGCCATTCCGGCGGTTAAATTCATACAAGTCCATGTGGCGTGATTTTCATGATCCGCAGTTATTGGAACCTTAATCCTGTTTCTTCATCTTTAATCAACAGGTCGCATTACTTGAAAAATCGTCAAGAAAGGCAAAAAAGCTGATAATGTATAAAGAACGGAAGTCGATCCGATTACAAAAAGAATGCTCGTACTGTAAAAGTTTATGCTTTATACATTGCAACATATTCGAACTAAAATAAAATATTATATTACCTTGATTATAATGATACTGTATAATGTATGATCATTTTAGGTTATTCGAATTTTTAATTTTTAATCACGTAATCATTATACTTTACTGTATAATACAGTAAATTGGTTATAAAGAAATATGCTTTATGCAATCAAAAATTTTTCAACTACAGTATATTATATAAACCCATTTTAATAATTATATCAAAGAAATTCTGCATTCATACAAAAGAATCGTTTGCATGATTCATACAGTGTTAAAGTGAAAAATAAACTATATAAATAAAAATAAAAATAAAAGTAAAATGAAGTAGAATATAAAAAGTAATATGATAGATATGCAAAAAGATATCTAGTATTTCTAGTA